CCGGGGGTTCAGAAATGGGCCGGCAGCAGCTGCACCCCGGCAGGGGAAGGAGCGTACCCGCGGGCGGGCGGTTTCCTGCCAGGGGCAGCAGCTCTCTCTTCAGCTGCTCTCTGCCCCGGCCGAGTCGGGACGGCATCCTTTGCTGTGCTGGAGCGAGTCCGAGGAAAGCCTGACACTGCCCAGGCCAGGGTGTCAGGTGGGGAACAGCTTCCTTCTGCTGGGAGTCAGCGATGATACTCACACAAAAATGAGTTTGGTTGCTGGAGACTCCTGAACTCGGGTGCTGTTCCTGTGCCAGGGCTGCCAAGCTGGAGGACAGCCCAGGGCTCGGTTGCTCTGCCAAGGGCCAGCTGCAGGGGTGCTGCCGCCGAGCAGGAAGATGCCTTCCCAGTACCAGCGAGGGCACGGCGACTGCCAGCACAGCCCGGTGCTGATGTGCCCACGTACAGAAAGCTGCCGTCTCTGCTTAGGGGACTGCAGAAACAGCCGCTGCTCCAAAGGAGAACGCTCAGGAGCTGCAGGCACGAGCTTGGACAATGTCACATTTTGCAGACTAGCACAGAATGTGGCATGAGTCAGCTGCGTGCCAAGACCCAGTCTGCCACGGGCAGTCGTGAACGGTTCAACCTCGCCGGGCTTGTTCAGAGCAATGCTTAGCCAGACCGCTGCTTTTCTGCAGGGCCATTTCTTATCATGTAAAAGAGCCGAAAATATGACACTATAGCAGAGGCAGAGTAAAGGCCACTGCTGGGGAGAGAATGGTAAGGAAAGCTCAAGCTTGTGGCAAGAGAAGTGAAGGAAATACTCAGGCACATGCCTACAAGAAATGCCCAAGGTACAGCTCAAACAAATGACTGTAATATGGTTTTCTGTCTGCCTGAAAACAAAGTACAAGTGGCTGCTTCCATCCACGTTTCTTACGTGCTGAGTCAGCACACGTGTGTTAGCTGCCAGGCCAGCTGCAAGGGGATGAAATCCCTTTTGCAATAACGTACTTGATGCTACCACAGTAGAGCTCAGGGACAGCAGCGCTGAAGCCAGCGTTCCCGGACGGCGGCTCCATCGCCCCGGCCAGCAGCGACGGCTGCCCGAGGGAAGGCCGAGCCCAGAGCTCAGCAGCAGCCCTGCGTGGTGACCCGTTCGAGGGGCCCTGGCAACAGCATCAGGGCAATCATCATCACACCGCCAGCATCTGCAGATTTCTGAGCAGCCAGGAAAAAATGTCAGTTCCTTTTTTTCAAAAAAGGGCTCACAGAGACTCGTCCTTTGGTGCCCCCTCCTCTCCTTGCTCACAGGCTTGACCACAGCATCTCGTCTTCTTGACTCCCAGTTCTCAGGCGGCCATACCTAGTGACCAGCTTAGTTTGGTCTTTTAAGGGGGATTTACTGATCCGAGCATCCCTCCCCATTCCTGCCACATTTCATTCCTTCTTCTCCCTACAAAATTTCAGCACAAAAGCTTGAGTCATTGTCTCTGCACTTGCTGGCAAATATCACACTCAAACCCTCTTCTTTTTACCAGTATTTTGATTTTTTTAAATGCATCGAGCTTGTTATAAATAAACATGCTCACAATGCAATTACTTCTCAGCAACTGGTACAAAGTAAAAAGCTACAGTGTACTGCAAAGAGGAAGGCCCCTCTCTTGGTTTTAAGAAGCCTACAGCATGGTTAAATACCGACTACTTTTAATCACTTCAGAATGTGTACCATTTGTCCGGGGAAATGAGAGAATCCTTGCAGCAAAACGTGGATGGCAGATCCCCTCCCCCAGTTTTCCACGAGCACCACAACAGCTCACACAGAGCATATGCACACCAGCTGTTGTTTTGACGTCTTTATTCTCCGGGAGAGAAGTTAACAGAGCACATGCAACGCAGGAAAGACAGCCCTGCTGTGAGAATTATTTCTTATGCTTCGGGGCTTCGATGGCTGATGAATTCCTGGAGCAGAGCTTGCACTTCTCCTCGCCGACTCATCTTGGTTGCCTTGCCCTGAAAGCGGCCTCGCTTCCCAGCTCCTTTGCCTCCCAGCAGCTCCGCCACCCTGCAGTAACAACAGCACAGGCTGAAGGCCGCTGGCTTGCAGAGCGGAGAGTGGCCTGGCCTAACCTGCTCCAGAGAGCAAACGAGGATCCATGCCCTAATTATACTGCTCAGCTGCTTAGTCTGCAACATTGGAATTCTTACTGATTTTAAAGAAACCATAGGACATGTTACCTGGGACCTAAATTCTCAACTTCTTCAACAGGTCCAGCTAGCAGAAAAAGTCCTGCTTCTTTTTCATCTCCCACAGTCAGGAACAGCAGGGTTTCCTGGGAACAAAGAGAGGGATCTTGCTCCAGAATAACCCGTGTCCTCCTTGGCCGGGCAGTGGACAGACACTGGCCACAGCACACACTCAAGCATGCAAACAGTTCAGAAGTTTGTAAAAGTGAGGGGGCCTTTTGAACCTTTTACGCTCAATCATATGTTGCAGGGGACAGAACGGGTAGTGGGGTATCCTAAACTAAAAGGATACAGCTGGCAGCTGGACTAGATGTTCGTCGTAGGTCCCTTCCAACTGAAACAGTTTATTCTACTCTAAAACAGCCGACGAGGTTCCGTACAGCTCTTTGGGGGACAGACTTCTACAGTGCTCGGAATTTTCACTGTTGTATTTCTCTACTGTTGAGGATTCCCCCCGCAGACTGAGGCTGCCGGGGGCAATAACCTCATGGAACTTTTGAACGGAAGCAGACCTGCAGCTTGTGACTATGGTACAGAAGCCTGGCCCTGCTCGTGCTGCAGCTCCGATGAAAAAGCCAGGGGTGCCAGGTTAATCTTCACCAGCGACTCACCTCTGTCCCAATCTCGTTAGCGATGATGTTCATAAATTCAGAATCACCCTCTTTCCTGTATGGGTGGGTAAAAAAAACACTTCAGAAAGAAGCAAAAATACCCTCTAGAGTCTAAAATAGCGATCAGAAACCAAAGGCCTGGTCAAGCCTGCGGTTCTGGCCTCTTGCTGTTAAGATGGAGCT